GTGCGGGTGGCCGTGAGGGTGCGGCCCCTCAGCCAGAGGTGAGTCCGGGCGGGAGGGGGCGCCGGAGGCGTCAAGTGAGTTCGGAGGGCGAGGCCCCCGCCACCCCCCACCCCCCGGAGTGATTCCGGCTGGAGCCATCCGGCACCCAGTGGCCCAGCGGCCGGGGTCCGGAAACCTGCAGGGCCTGGCGAGTTGAGACCTCGGCTGGGGCTTTCGCGTGGTGCCCCAGGGGATAGCGGCTCCTGGATGGACAGGGCTGGGCCGCCCTTGTTCGGGGTCCCTGGAGTCCTGCCAGCAGTTGCGAGGGGCCGCAGCTCAAGTCTTGCGGCACCAGTTGTGCGCGCCCCCCGGGTGCGTGGAGAAGGGCCGGTCAGTGTCCTCGCTCTTCTTGGTGGCTCCGGAGTCCCTGCGAGTACGGAGGCGCAATGGTGGGTGCACGCGGGTTTCTCCGCGAAGGTGTGGAGAAAGGCCGAGTGTGCGGTATGAGAGGGACACTGAGGCCCAGCTGGACGGCAGAGCTGTGAAATAGGGGTGGTGGTTCCAGCCCCTTCTCGCAGCTCGGCGTTGGCAGTGCCCACGTCCTCATGGCTGCATCTCATTCCGCACCTCGCAGCTCTTGAGGCGTCCGGTGTCCAGCCACATGATTTCTTCCCCTTTTCACTAACTTGCCATACATGGGTTTGGCAAGGCAGGGAAAGCTCACAGAAGGGTTGGTGTTTGAACTTATTTAAAAAAGTTTTTTTATATATTTTATTGATTTTTTATAGAGAGGAAGGGAGAGAGATAGAGAGTTAGAAACATTGATGAGAGAGAAACATTGATCAGCTGCCTCCTTCACATCTCCCACTGGGGATGTGCCCGCAACCCAGGCATGTGCCCTTGACCGGAATCGAACCTGGGACCCTTCAGTCCGCAGGCCGATGCTCTATCCACTGAGCCAAACCGGTTTCAGCTGAACTTTTATTTTTTTAAAAAAATCTTTATTGTTGAAAGTATTACATATGTCCCCCCTTTTCCCCCATCGACCCCTTCAGCTCACTCCTGCCCCAGGCCCTCACCAGCCCACGGTCTGTGTCCGTGGGTTATGCATATATGCATGAACTGCTTTTTAAAGACCTATTAGAGCGGTGGTTCTCAACCTTCCTATTGCCGCGACCCTTTAATACAGTTCCTCATGTTGTGGTGACCCCCAATTTCATTGTTACAAATTGAACATAATTAAAGCATAGTGATTAATCACAAAAACAATATGTAATTATATATGTGTTTTCCGATGGTCTTAGGCGACCCCTGTGAAAGGGTCATTCGACCCCCAAAGGGGTCGCGACCCACAGGTTGAGAACCGCTGTGTTAGAGTTTGCTGATAGGTGGAGAAGGTGTAAAAAGCACTCCCTGTAGTAAAATACAGAGGGAAGGACTTGCTCTGTTAGGAAACAGGTAAGTTTGGTTGTCTGGGGAGAGGGTATGTGGAGGGAGGTGAATAATAGGACATAAAGCTGTGGAGAGTGTGATTTGGGACCAGTGGCACATACTGGAATTATCTGGGACGTTAAAAAATTTCCAGGACGTAAGATGGCTTGAAAATTGGGCAGAAGGCTCAAGAAGGTATTGTCTCCCATAATAAAATTCGGTGCTAGCAGGGATTGTGTTTGTCCTGATATGGAGGTGATTGGCTTTGAAAAGTCATGCAGTCAGGGGGTAGGGGAGGCCGGGGGAATGTCAGTGGGGGGAAGGAGGGGCAAAGGAGACATATGTACAACTATCTGTAGTACTTTAAACAATACAATTAAATTAAAAAAAGAAAAGTCATGTAGTGGACAGAATAATGAGAAGAGGAGTGAGATGGGAGGAGAAACAAGAAAAACAGAAGTAGGAAAAAGGCAAAAGGGGCACAATGAAGAAAAGAAGGAAAGCGTCATGTGCCTGAGCTGCTGTGTTTAGATTGGTAAATTGATTACACCTGGCTTCTGCTTTGCCAGGTGTGGTGGCTCAGGTTTGGGTTGTTAGCTTTGTTTGTTTGTTTGTTTTTTTGTTAATTGGCATCCAAGGATATTTTTTTCTCAAAGTGGAAGGGACGGGGAGAGACAGAGAGGAACATTGGTGAGAGAGAGTCACAGTGATTGGTTGCCTCCCACACATGCCCCAACCAGGGTGGGGTTTGATCTTGCAACTGAGATACGTGCCCTTGACAGGAATTGAACCCACGACCCTTTAGTTCCTGGGCCAACACTCTCACCATTGAGCCAAACCAGCCAGGGCATGCCTGAGGGGGGGGGTGCGGCGGTGTTTATTGGTGCAGCTGCTACTTTGAGGGTAGCCTCTGGCAGATCCTTTTCTTTTTAGCCTCACTTTTTTTTCCCCCTCCCATACATTCCCTGACCCGAGATAGAAACTGAAACCTAGGTCTGTCCTCTGACGGGGAATCAAACTCATAACCTTTTGGACAATCCAACCGGCTGAGCTACCTGGCCAGGGCCCTCTGGCAGATCTTCCTCTTTGCAAAACTGTGCTTTTAAGGGTTCTGGGGATAACAACATAGACTACTCCTCACAGTAACTTCTCTGTTCCTTGGGAACTAAGGATTTACGATAGCATGGATTAGATTAAGAAAATGCTGTTGAAATAGAATTGTTACTTGCAGTCGGAGTAGAGAATAACATCTCATTAAACAAAAGTGAGGTGGAAAGAAGGGCACAAAGCTTATTTACTGAGCTCATGTGAAGGGCCTTGAGCAGCAGGCAGTAGATTGTCAGGACTGCAGATGACGTCCAAGTGTGAGTGATTATAGCCGACTGAAGATTCAGGAGATCTGATGCTTTCAGCCACTTATGGAGACAGACACTGCAGTTACCGAGACAGGAGGAGGGAAACATTTTGTCCCAATAGCACTGGGCTCAGCTTCTCTTTTCTTGATTAAGAAGAAAAAAAGCACAGGTCCAAAGACAGAGAAACAGCCATCAGACTATCAATCCCCAGAGGGAAAGTAGGGGAGGGTGGGGGTAAGGGGAAGAGATCAACCAAAGGACTTGTATGCATGCATATAAGCCAAACCAATGGACATGGACAACAGGGGGATAAGAATATGAGTGGGGAAGGGGAGGTTGGGGGTTAATGGGGGGGATGAGGACACATTTGTAATACCTTAACCAATAAAGAAATTTTAAAAAAAGAAAAAGATAAAAAAAGGCAATTTTTTTTATGGGTTTGGTCTTTCTAGGGAGACCAAAGAAGGAGGAAGAATTATTGTGGAAATTGATGGCAAAGTGGCAAAAATCAGGAATTTAAAGGTAAGCCTGAAATTGCTTTCCTTTTTCTCTGCACTGAGGGGGTCGTATCATTACAGGGCTTCTGAGGTGAAAGTGTGTATGTGCATATGTGTAAAGAGGGAGAGTGGGAGAGCTTTGACCAACCACCAAGCAAATATAAAAAAGTAGGAAAGAAGTACAGGGGATGTTGCTGCTGCAGCCCAAGTTCTATCACACAGGTGCAGCTGTTTTGGAAACCGGGCAGTAGCCTCTTTGAAAGTAAACACAAGGAATGAATATGGAGGCAGGCATGGCCAGCTTAAATCATGTTGGGGACAGTCCATGTGTATACTTAACTCACCTGAGAACTAGTTAGCCTTTGTCCCAAGCCTCTCATTTCATATCATTTGGTCTAGAGGTGTGTGCATCTGCTAATGCAGGATTCATTTTGGCCACAGTGAGGACCAAATAAGAACCTTCCGACCTCAGAAGAGAGTCAGTCAGTCTCTAGTCTGAGTCTTGTTACAAATTCTCTTTCACAGAGTTGACTGATATTTGAGTCACAATTGGACAAACTCTGGGTACTTCCTCCTTTACCCCTCACCACTTCTGAGGCTAATTTCCTCCACCCCATTCCCCTCTTACCAGGCTATAGAAGAGATTCTTTCTGTGCCTTGGAGAGTGGAGGGTAAGAGTGAGGGTTATCTGGACCCCAGGCCTGCCAGCCATGCGCACTCACATGTTACTCCTGTGATGTGATCTGTTTCCTTTTGTCAGTAGCCCTCTGCTAAAAGAGAACAGGAACCGTCAAACTGTCAACAAGAGCTCCCTGGGGATAAAAGGCCTTTTATTCTTTGCTGTCTCTTACTTATATCTCTGTTGCCTAATCACTTCAGCTGCTTTGTTCTGAGAGATCATATTTTTGGTTCTTAATAATTCCTGGCCAAGATCAAACTCGAATCTGCCTCTTGCACACCTTGCTGGCTGGTTGCTTCCCTGAGGTCAGTTGCCTAAGAATCTCTTAGTCATTCTGACAGCCTCATTATCCTGTGACCTGTGGATCCTAGTGCTAGGGGTTGTCTCTCCCTGTCCAGAGTCTAAATTTTAAATAGAAAATACAGGCATTTCTGTGAATAATGCCATTCTCCCCAGCATAGTACCTTGAGGTTGTCGGTACAGTTCCAAGCTCTGGCTCTGTCTTCATTTACCTTGGGCAGTTGGATTGGTCCTAGCTCGTCTGTCCAATATGCTTTCTAACTCACTGTGAAAGCCTTAGGTTAATAGAGCCTGTCAGGCCCAGGAACTAAAGTATTCATGCATTTCTGTGTCTGCTATAGAAATACTTAGAGGGAAAAATGATAGTGATAAGAAGATGCCTGGAGATGTAAAGGTTTCTCTCCCAAGGTGTGCTATATCTCATTTGTATACTACATGATAGTATGATAGACAGATATTCAATTAATTCTCTGCGGCTTTATTGAACCTAACAAGACGAGGACAGAGGTTACTTGTTTTCTTTTTTAGATAGATATCATAAAGATTCTCATGGCCAGTTCAGGTCTCTCTCGCTACAGCAGAGAGGAAACTAGTCCCACTAGCCAGATTCTGATATTATAATAGAGAAGACACTGGATCCTATGTTTGATTTTAGGTGGACAGCCGATCAGATGGCTTTGGCGACACCCGGGAGAAGGTTGTGGCATTCGGCTTTGATTACTGCTACTGGTCGGTCAACCCAGAGGACCCCCAATATGCATCTCAGGATGTGGTAATGTCATTTTTCCTTCACTCTAATCAGTTTTTCGTAACTGTATAATTATTGAGAAATTAACATGGAATCTGGACCCTTCATATTTCTTACTTATAGTAATTTGGGTAGAAACTAATGATGTTTAACCTAAAAAGTGGTAGTCAGAGGCATCAGTTGCAGAAAGAGGAAAGGACTGCTTGCTCAGGGCATGGGACTTGGCTAGTGTTTATTTAGGCTTCGGGCTCAGCATGATTCAGTGGATACAAGTTAGTTTAGGTAGTGGTCTGCTCCCATGGTAAGTGAATGGGCTCATCTCAAACTTGGCCTTGTGGTGGGAGCTGGAACTGCCGATGAGTGCCAGCCGCGGAGCAGGGCCCAGCCTGGAAAACAGAGGAGATTAATACTGATCAAGATGACAACCTCCCAAAAGCACCGAGACTTCATGGCAGAGCCCATGGGGGAAAAGCCAGTGGGGAGCCTGGCCGGGATCGGTGAAGTCCTGGGCAAGAAGCTGGAGGAAAGGGGCTTTGACAAGGCTTATGTGGTCCTTGGCCAGTTTCTGGTGCTAAAGAAAGATGATCTCTTCCGGGAATGGCTAAAGGACACATGTGGCGCCAATGCCAAGCAGTCCGGGACTGCTTTGGGTCCCTTCGAGAGTGGTGTGACGCCTTCTTGTGATGCTTTCTGGGGAGCCCCCCATCCCTAACGCCAGCGTTGAGTCTTCAGAGTTTGCAGCTCAGTGGGGACTACTCCCTTGTCCTCTACCAAGGAAACGATTGCTGTCTGCTCACCACCGATGTCCTCCGGGTCTCTGGGGGAGTTCTCTCCCCTCACCATTTCAACTTTTTTGGAATTCTCACTCTTGCATGCATCTCCCTTCTCTTTCCCCTGCCAGTTTCAGATCGGTAATCAGCTTTTCTGAGTGGATTTCTGGTCCCTACCCTCACCCCTGGTCTGTTTAATTACATTTGGCTTCTCTTTTGGCAAAACAGTCACTGTCCATATAAAGTTTTTTAAATCAATAAAGTCAGTGGCCTTCCAAAAATCCCCCAAAATAACCCCCAAAACACACACACACACACACACACACACAAACTTGGCCTTGTGTTGCATGCAATGGAAGGGCCCAGGAATCCTAGAGGCTAGTATCTTCTTCGTGCGTTAGGCTTGTGCTCCTAGGTTGAGTGTAAGGGGCTAGACAGCTAGTCTACCAGCCATCGATGTACTAGTATGTAAGAGGTGAATTTTGTTGATCTGATGAGGATTGAGAGGATCAGCTAAGGCTGTTGGTCATGCTTCCTGTGTCTGGTAGTGCTGCCCAGCTCTCTCACAAGTTCCCGAGGCGGCAGGTCTTACCAGGTGGATCTACAGGACTTCCCTCTGTTTCCGTGAAACAGCAGCATTGTTCTGATTTGTCCTGTTGAAGGTCATGACTTCAGTCCCCACGATGGCCAGCAAGCCTTGCCTCATTCAATTCTATGACCACAGACAATGGCCCTCACCCCAGCAACCTCCAGGGATTCTATGAAAATCCATCCCTAAAATTAGAAATATCATTTATTTGGCCTTCATGGATCAGTATCATCATACTTTTACATCTGAAAATACTACAGGAGTATGTCATTAGAAAATACCGTTGGAAAGGAAAATATTTTGGGGAGCACCCTGGACAACAATTGCCTATCTGTCTATATACGTTTGGATAAAAAGCCAAAGTGTTTTCTAAGTATTTTAGTCTTTCTTGTTTGTTTTTGTTAATCCTCACCCGAGGATATTTTTTCCATTGTTATTTAGAGAGCGTGGAAGGGAGGGGGGAGAGAAACAGAGAGAGAGAAACATAGATTGGTTGCTTCCCACAGGAGCCCTGACCAGGGCTGGGAATCCCGTCTACAAATGAGACACGTGCCCTTGACTGAAATTGGACCTGGGACCCTTCAGTCTGCCGGTTGATGCTGAGTCTATCCACTGAGACAGACCGTCTAGGGCAGTATTTT